AAATGTAAAGTTGAACCTTAATTAATGCATATTTTTGTTCAAGTTTTTAATCCTGTTACTTTCATTTAGACATAATTGTTTAAGTTTTGGGTGCTCATTATTAGTTAGTGCAAAGGCCAACAAAAAACTACAATTATTGTGAATACTGTACTAAACATAATATACTAGAGTAACCAGTGTAGAAAAATGCAAATCATTGTAACTGGATATTAAATGCATCAACACATTAAAGAAGTGACTAACAACACACATGAACACACATACATGTGTCTGTGTTTGTGTCTGTAAGGTGTGACCTTCAGCAAGGAGATCAGGTTTACATTCTATAATGAACTTCTAAGCATCTTTCAAGCAAACAGTTAAACAGTATATAGTTTACCCATAAATCTATAGGAATGGCCCCCACATAACCTGCATCTGCTGCACAATATGCTTGGTACATTATTATAACCAAAAAGAAGCGCTAAGCCACAAGCTTGGTACAATAGATCCTTCACATGCACAAGATGTAATGATGCCAGTTCTCATGCTTGACGTAAAGGCATTGCCTGTTTCAGCCAACCAATTTACACCAAAAAAATAAGAAATGCATATATATACAGTATGCATCATCAACTTTTGTAGAAATTTTCTCACATTAAAGACTGATTTTGTAAAAATTTGACATATTACAAGGAAAGTCTAGAGGGTATTTCAGTAATGTTAAAACTTAACACAGTACTGACACTGAGGGAGCAGTTGGAAGGCCCAAGAGCTGTTAAGGTTTATAATGTATGTACATGCAGATTATTAAGCTATAATAAAAACTAAACCCACAAGGGTCATACAGCATTGCAGGGGTAGGGTGTGCCAACAGTTTAACATGCTTGATCTGATACTAGCAAGAGTGGAGAGTACAACGGAGAAAGAGTTTGCAAGGGCAGCGAGTAGTGCTAAAGGAAGTACAGTATAATCAAAGGTGTAATAAATCTGTTGCTGTCAAAAAGTCAAAGGAGTCGTCTGTGTCAAAGGTGGGGGCCATCAGCAAGGAGGGAAGATAAAGTAAAGTGTTAGAGCAGCGACAACATCAGAGGTAAATTATGTGTGCTCCTTGCTGATAAACAGGACAATCCAACAGAATATGGCAAACTGAAACTGGAGCCTGGCAGTTCACACAGTGGAACTGGGAGTCTCTCCACGAGATACCCACGAGTGATGTATGTGTGCGCCTGATGCGAAGACAGGAAAGTGTAGTCTCCCAACCATGACATCGATAAGAAGACCAGGATGCTAAACTTAACTTGGAGTAATCAGTTATGAATCAACTCAGACCAACGTTGTTGCCAACAACTGCGAAGGTGGCTAGAGATTACAGCAAAATAGTCCGAGAATGCAATACCTCTATATGAAACTGGGAGGTCGTGCACTGCTTACCGTGCAGCAGAGTCTGCCTGCTCAATGCCCTGAACATCAACACTAGTGACCCAGCAGGAAAAGATTTTTGTTTTTGGTAGGAATGTGGCACAACCAAGGTTGTATACGAGGAACTAGGGGATGAGAATCAAATATTTTGATAGCTTGCAAAGCACTGGAGTCGAGAGTACCACAAATGTTGAGGTAGGCCTTGACAGATACTTAAAGTTGGTGCAGGATCAGCCGGGCTGTGGTTCATACATTAGACTGTGCGGCCAGCAGTAACAGCCTGGTTGATCAGGCCCCAATCCACTGAGGTGCCTGGTTGTGGACTTGGCCATGGGGGCATCGATCCTCAGAATACCCTCCAGGTAGGTAGTTCATTATTATTATAATCAAAAAGAAGCAGCCACAAGGGCTATACAGCTGGTAGGTAGTTCAGCTGTGAAAATACTAGCAAGAATCTAATAAACGACTTCTCACAACACCATCCGGGAACACTGCTGCAAACTTGACACTGTTATAGGATTTGAAATAATCAGTGTAAACTGCAATGGCATGAGAAAGAGACCAGATGTGGTTAAGAAAATGAGCGAGAAGCAACTGTAGGTATTTGAGCTTTCACACACACAGCAGTGGGGAGGAATAGATTTGAACTGCTGGAACCTCACATGGGGGAAGAGAAAAGTTAATGTTAGATGAACATATAAGGAGGCAACTGAGAAGTCAAGAGCAAGTGAAGACGAAGAGAAAAGGGATGGAGCAAAGGCGGTGAACAAATAATGGACCTCTACTAACATCCGTTATTATCCTGTATGTATACATGTACAGAACTTATTTTATGTAGCAATCTTTAAGCCACCCCATCCCATAAATCTCTAACACATGGTGAAAAATTTAACACAAGTGGAAGACAAAATACAGTGGACTAACGAATTTTTCATTAGAGTATTCAGTATATGACCGATTTTTCCATAGATATTGTGAAATAGTTAGTCATTTCAGACCCCCAACATAACTCAAAAGCACTTGAAATACACTTACATATTGTGTTGGAGATGATCGAAGGATACTACAGTAATACCGTATTACTGTAATCATATAATCAAACGCTAAACCCATAAGGGTTATATAGCGCTGCAGTAAAACCAATGTACAAGTCATGAATTACACTAGGTAAACCAATGACGTGAGGTATTATTATAATCAAAAAAGAAGCGCTAAACCTACAAGGGTCATACAGCGCCACCGGGCAGGATAATGCAGGGGTATTGGGTAGCAAGAATGATTTGAGGTAGTGCACCATTATGAGGGAAGTGTAATGAGTTATTAAAAGGGGCAGTATGTTATTGCAATGTTAAGCTTCTTAAGTGTGGCTAAGTAATAAATCAAGTCAGAGTTCCTCACTAACATTGTCAGTCAAGCTTTATTTGTTGACTGGAGGGAAAAGAATTTTGTCCAGTAATTTTGAAATACTGTACTTCCTGTTGAGAAGCTCCTAGCTGCTGCATTTTCCATAAAATGAGAATTATAAGATTTATCACAATCTAATGCAAATCAGTGTTTTTGTAGATGGCTTGGAGCCACTCTGTCCTGACACTAATAATCCAATTATCATTGCATTATGAGGGAAGAAGTATCCATGGTTAAGGCAAACCAATGATTAGATACCAGAAGGGGTAGACAGAATACTGGTATTGACTGGGACAGCAAGAGATTGCCCGAAAGCAATTCTGGATTCCAAAGAGGGTCTTTGGCTATGCAGGAGTATGTAAAGGGTGTCACGTTCATTTGGAATTCATTAATTTAATTCAAGGATGAAGTGCTAAACCTGTAGGATTATACAGTGCCTGTGAGGGGGATGTGGAAGGTATTTAGGTTTAATTCAGGGAACTGGAGCAGAGATCCAATTCCCTAGATCAAGAGCCCCTCACCAGCATCAAGGAACCTTCCTTGAGGGGTTGGAATCCATGAGAATCAGCCAATGTTACATTTAGAATTGAGGTAAGAAATGGAGAAGTATTGAAAATATATTAAGAGAAATCATGTATCCACACTGAACCACTTCACCTTTAATGTGCAACTCAGCAAGATCTGGCAAAACTGCATGTTTGGAGAAGAGCACCAACTGTGCAGTAGTCTTTCAGGTAAAATTAGTTTTGGGTAAACAAAGAATACCAGGAGTCATGCACTTTGTTGCTACTCCTGGATCAGCAAGTAACCTCCAGTAGTACTTCCACCAGATGGCCATTCAGTGCCTCACTGGAAGGCCGCCTGATATGCTTCAAGATCCTTCTGATCAGGAAGAGACATGGCCACCTCAATGAAAGTTAAGTTAGAAGAGGGAAAATAGCAATTCCTTCTGCTGCCTAGTAACTGGATTTCACAATGAAAATCCCCATTAAAGTTAAAAGGTTAGGGATGGGGTATTTAGTTTCAATCCAAGAATGGAAAAGATAAACTGCTCGGAAAAAAAAAAAAAAAAAACAATCACAGCAGGGGATATCCCCTTGACATGAAGGAATACAAAGTGAAAATGCAAAGATTCATTAAAGGGAGGGAGCAAGTCATGGAAGTAGTCACTTATTAAATGCACACCTTGCCTATAAGAACGTACTTTTACCTCCTAATCCTTTTATTTAAAGTTTTAACTACAGTAGGTTTATCAATGTGTGGTGTAAATATGCAGAAAATTCGGAGTGTGGAAATTAGGAAAAAGGTGTGGAGTTAATAAAAGTATTAGTCAGAGGGCAGAAGAGGGGTTGTTGAGGTGGTTTGGTCATTTAGAGAGAATGGATCAAAGTAGAATGACATGGAAAGCATATAAATCTATAGGGGAAGGAAGGCGGGTAGGGGTCCTCCTTGAAAGGGTTGGAGAGAGGGGGTAAAGGAGGTTTTGTGGGCAAGGGGCTTGGACTTCCAGCAAGCGTGCGTGAGCGTGTTAGATAGGAGTGAATGGAGACTAATGGTACTTGGGACCTGACGATCTGTTGGAGTGTGAGCAGGGTAATATTTAGTGAAGGGATTCAGGGAAACCGGTTATTTTCATATAGTCGGACTTGAGTCCTGGAAATGGGAAGTACAATGCCTGCACTTTAAAGGAGGGGTTTGGGATATTGGCAGTTTGGAGGGATATGTTGTGTATCTTTGTATGTGTGTGCTTCTAAACTGTTGTATTCTGAGCACCTCTGCAAAAACAGTGATAATGTGCGAGTGTGGTGAAAGTGTTGAATGATGATGAAAGTATTTTCTTTTTGGGGATTTTCTTTCTTTTTTGGGTCACCCTGCCTCGGTGGGAGACGGCCGACTTGTTGGGGGGGGGGGGGATGTTTCAGTAAAGTAACATTTTAATTAAACTAACCCCTTTTAAAACTGTTGTGCAATTAGCATCTCGTGCAGAGGTGAAGAACCCTCATAGATTTTAAAAGTGTATCATCCCTCTATCATCAAGTTGACTATGCAGCAGACATGACAAACCCTAATATTGTAAATTATTTCTATATGATGTCGTACAAAATATTAAATGAACTAATGAGGCAATAAATAATTAGAAGCACGATGAAAAAGAAATGAGTTGGTGACAAGGGTTGGCAGATTGGATGGCAGGATTTATGTTCTCCAAACTTTTTATTGATAATGCACAAAATGTAGGCACTTAATACCCATTCTCCAATTACTGTACTTTATCAATTAACATTTTTAATTCACACCAGTTTCCAAAAATGCAAGTACTGTACATTGTTAATTAAGGTTCAACTGTACAACTTCGGTTGATGGTATCTAATAAGGATCACTCACTAAGTAAGTCAGTAACTCTGGTTAATGTCAATGGCAATCTTAACAATACTGCAACACACCAGAGTATAGAAAGCTTTACATATTGGCCACATGGTCAATAGAGGTATAAAATGAATGCATGCTGCAGTATTCTATTTGGGTACACTGGTACATGTACACACAAACCACACGCATTACACATTCATACATTCTCGCACACAACAGGTCGTGTCTACTGACAAGTGCCTTTGACAATGTAACTCTCACACATTGATTATCTTATCTACCAACTCTCACACATGCAAGCTAAGACTTGACCCTTGCAACCACACAGGCAGGCATGTACATATGTACACTCACTCATACATGTACAGACAAAGGAGAAAGAAAATAACAGGTAATGTACTCTGGTGTATCAGAGTATCTTTGGGAAAGAAGACAGAGCAATTGTCCTGGAAGAGTAACATGAGGGGTCCTGCAAGGATTGGTACTAAGACCAATACTACTTCTAATTTATGTGAAAGATGTTCCAGATGGGATTGAGTCAATTTATCCCTGTTTGCAGATGCAAAACTGACAAGATTAAAATCAGATGAGGATTGGGAAGAGGCTATAAATGGATCTGGACATAATACAAGCTTGGTCAGATAAATGGTCGTTTGAATTCGGCCCCAGCAAATGCAGGGTCATGTATATTGAGGAAGGGGCCAGAAGACTGGACACTGAGTACAGACTCTGGAGAAAGAAGTTAAAGACTGTACTCAAAGACCTAGGCGTTAGCACAGTGCTTAGCATGTTGCCAGAGCCTCGCATCAATCTAATAATCTCTGCAGCCAATGCTCATCTGGCAAATCCAAGAGTGATCTTTAGTAATATCAACAAAGTGTTATTCTGGGCTCTTTATACATGTCAGGCCCACCTTGCAGTATGTGGCACCATGTTAAGAAACTGGAGAAAGTGCAGAAGCATGCAACAAGGTTTGTTCTGAAGTTAGGGGCATGAGCTATGAGAGGCTAACTTAATGAATAACTACACTGGAGGGTAGAAAAACCAAGAGAGCCATAACATGAAAAATTATCAAGGGGAATTGATAGGTTAGACACAATGTTTGGGAGGAACCCAAAGACATAGCCGGAGGTAAAAGGCACAGATGAGCCATAGGGATGTCAAGAAGTATTTCTTCAGTCTCAGGATGACTGGGAAGTGGAATGATTTATAATGTAATGGTGGAGGCAGGCTCCCACACACACTTTCTAGGAGCAGGTATGAGAGGGTCCACAAACACATGAACAAACACACACACACATACATACAAACACATGGCATCAAAGTACTCAATATGTCTACTGTAAAACCATTTGCATGTGATGACTTAGAACACATGTCTGTTTACCTGCATAATTACTATTTTAACTACTACATGGTAACTCATGGGATAAGTTCACAAGTATTTTTCTTTGGACACTTTACTAACTAGCAATAGTGCCTTCAGTGAGGCACAAATTATATCACTGAAGAACTATATAAAATAAGAGGAAAGCACATTAACAAAATTAAGTCAATAACCAATGAAGAAACAAGGATAATTTATTCAGTTAATACTTAGTTTCTTATAAAATTCTCCATTCAAAACATTTTAATATTAACAAGATTCTTCTTTGAAGAAACTTATTAATATTTTAAAAAGCATTAGAAATTCACATTGTCTTGCAAGAGTTCACAACAAAATAATTATGTACACTTTTAATCAAGTGACATACAAGGAAAATAAAAAAAAATATATTAAAATATTTAAATAACCTTTCACAAGAAAGGGGAAAACTGGAGAACTCTGGGTTATTTTTATTTGTCCTTCCTTTCTATATAAAAGACTGTCCAGAAATAAATTACAAAAAATAAATATATGCACATTTCATTATGTACTTTGATGTGCCTCCAGGGATCACCATCCCTGTTACCCCTAACTTTTTAATGAAGATAAAGGATTAAGAAAAAAAAAAACTAATGACCAGAATCTAGTTACAGTACCAATTTCATAAGTTGGTATTTTGAGATTCAACTGGTATTTTTTGTTCAAGAAAAAATTTCAGGTTGTCGCTAAATTATGAGAAGTTATATCAATTTGGATAAAATGTTGAATATCGTTTAATTTTAGCACCATGACTGTCTTGACAAAATAATGAATCCCTATGCTGTCTTTGTATATTTAAACATTTTATATCATATGCAATTTATAAAATATCTGCTGTACATATATAACCACTGCACAGCAGCAGTATAAAAAAAATTTAATGTAATACCTGAATTTTAAAGATTTTATCCACCTACTGTTATGTATGATTAAGTCATATACTATTAAAGTCCCTGATAAGTTAATGTGAATCTGGAATTTTCTTGTAACTATCAAAGAAAGATGCCTCCGTGATGAAGTCTGTAAACTCGACCTTGTCATTCAGAGGTAGTAACTGATATCAGAACTGCTCACCTTGCCACACAATACACGTGTGCATGCTCAAACTTGCACAAACATGCACACAAACACAACTACTTTACATCTTGAAAAGATAAATTGGACATTTTATGAAAATATAGTCCACAAGGCAAACTTGCATAAGAGTGAGCTTAAATCTATACTGTATATACTTTGTACAATTACTGTTCAAATATAGACAAAAAGCTATTTAAGCCAAATAATTTAATTTACACGTTTTGTTTAAAACCTACACTGTTCATCACACAATATGGTGAGATGTAGTGAGTATTTAATATCACATTAAATCAATCACAGTATACAAGAGTAGTATTGAGAGCCACTTAACTGTCTAGCCAAGAAGTCTAAAAACAAATTTGTACTTAAATTTCATGTTAAAGGTTTTAAGAATCTCTGCTGTACAGTGAACTGCAGATGTGAAAATATAAATGTACCTAAAAATCCAAACCTTGTGTGAATATTTACATTAAAAAAAATATAAAAATTGCAGCAATAAGTTTTTATAAATAGATGGAAAGCAATATATTTGACCCGTTACTTACATTACCCCCAAGTTGTCAATTTGCAATGGCTGAATACATTTAATGGCAGAATACATCATCTTGTATACAGTGACCTCGGGTGGACTGGCACTAAGAAGGACTACAAAACACGAAGAACTGTGATCAGGAAATATACTCTGGTCAACTGGTAACTTCTATACCACAAGTGAATCTGACAATAATATGACTGGTAAACACTCATTCTACAAGTGCATCTGAGGATGGAATGACTGGTAAACTAAAACCACCATCTGCACATTTGGTATGCCATTCAAACAGTAATTAAAAATGACTCGCCTTCTGGCTCCATGTCGAGGGAGCATGTGTGGGCTCGGACAGACAACTTCCTTCAAGGGGCACCACTTACAGTAAGGTGTTAAACATTTTACACTGGTATATGCCACAGTGTTTGCCATAATGTTAAGTTTTTCTTCAGTAAATACCAAGGAGCCATTTAGGCCATTTTCACTACACTGAAGACGTCAAACCAAAACCACTCCATATAAAAAACAATTAGGTAATTGATGAAAAAAAAAAAAAAAAAAAAGATTATCAGTCTCATTTTTCAGATGATATATAAGCACCCAAGTTAAAGAATAAATAATTAAAATGATTTTATCAAGTCAACTGGCACTACCTTTACTTAACATGCTCAAGTATCTCTCGTACTTTAGTAAATCTAATTACAAAAAAATGAATTACTAGTACATTATTCTATAAAATTTATAAGTAAACCTTAAGACAAACCATAGCATCTTCAAAAATTTACTTCATATTTGTGAATAACTGAATCAGTTTCTTAGATTATTTACTTATTGTGCTCAATAACAACACACACGGAGGAAGTAACACAAAAGGTTGATTGATCTGTATATATTGACCACCTTTTGGGATCCTCTTCAGCAAACACTGATCAATCAATCTTCTGTGTTTCTGTCTCCATGTGGATTATACAGCACTGATAAGTGTTTATTACACTTTATTCATTTACTTACTGTGTATACCCTAGTATAGGTCGATCCCTGACTTTTTCATATCTTGTTTATAAATCTGCTATAGTTTCTGAGGTACTTTAAAAGTGGGTCAAATTATTTTAATGTGAAATATATTATAACCATAACTTAGAAAAAAGTCCTGAAAATCTGAAAATGGTGCCAAAAAATTCAAAATATTTGTAACGAAGAAAGTCAGCCTAAACACTGGATATACACAAGACTAAAGCAGCAAGGCAGTAAACCTACTGGTTCATGCTAGGTAGATCCTACACATACCCAACCATTACATAAGAATACCAAGGATAAAGACTGCAGTAGGCCTACTGGTCCAAGCAAGACAGGTCCTACTATCATCCAACAACTGTTTGCTAAAGACTGGGAACCAAATAATTAGATTTATTATTTATTCAGTTTGGGAGCATCATTATTCACATCTAGTATGCCTAACCAGGAACTCCTGGTGCCTGACCACCCCAATGAAACTACTAGATATCAAATTTGTACTGTATATTTAAGATATGGTTACCAAGTGTGGTTTTTGCCCTTTAGGTGCTAAAGATGTAGAAATCTAGCATGTGGCAGGTCTTCAATATGTAAGAATTTCAAACTACCAAAAGTATTAGTCATGAATAGGTAGCCCCATACATTTTGCTTTAAAATTAAGTCTTAAAACCTAGACCTATACAAGAGTATATACAGTAGGAGTTATTTTAAGTAAATGCATCATAGTAATACCTTTTGCTGAGCATAGTATTACTAACACCATCTTGCAAGGAAATTTACATTCACTTTCATTAATTAATTTCATTCAAAATTCACTATCACAGTTGTCCAAGTTTTAGATCTTCATAGTGCCATGGAATTATGTTAAAATCATATAAAAGCAGCACATACAAACTGACTATCATGGAGGCTGTATATTAGTGTTTCACTGAAAATGCAATTCAGATTGACCCAAGTTGGAAGTCATTAACTAGGAGGTTCTCTGAGGGTTTTTGCTGCTCCATCTCCTCGGCCACGGCAAAGGACTTTCATAATGCCTCGGAACAACACCTTGCACATTGCGTTCAAACCGTGAGAAGAGAGGATACCACCATAACCTCTCAAAGAAGTTGTTTGAACCACTTTCCTGAAAATAAAACAAATTTAGAAGTAAAAGAATAATATACGAAATTAGAAAAAAAAAAACAGAGATAACATTTGTGATGCCAAGAAGAAAGTACTGCAAGTATATTATAGTAATCAAACTTTAAGAGGGGGAAGAATAGGAGCTATACATAAAAAAAATATGAAAAACCGAGATTTGACAACTATGAAAGTGAAAAAAGTAAGCCTTGACTAAAATAATGGATTGTGAATAAAATACAAATTCATAATCTGGAAAATATCAGATTTCACAATCTCTCTTACTTAATAATATTTGTTAGTTGGGGTGTGAGGAAGTGCTAGGACTTTTCAACAGGACAGTCATCTCCCACCAAGGCAGGGTGGAAAAAAAAAAAAAAACTTCACCATTCACACTATCATTTTGCAGAGGTGCCCCAATATGCCAGTTTACATGTCACTCCAAACAGTAGGTACTTTACGTCCCACGTCAAGGACAAGCCTAACTAACCGGTTTTCCTGAATCCCTTCACAAAATATTACCCTTGCTCACATTCCAACTGCTCATCAGGTTCCAAAAACCATTCGTCTCCATTCACTCTTATCTAACAGATTCATGCCTGCTGCATGTCCAGGCCCTTTGCACACAGTCTTTTACTCCCTCCCTCCATCCTTCCCTGAGACAACCCTTATACCTCCTCCCTTCCACTACAGATTTATACACCCTTCAAGTCAACCTATTTTGCTCCATCCTCTGCAAATGACAAAACCACCTCAATAACCTCTCTTCAGCCCTCTGAATATTGCTTTTAGTAACTTCACAACTCCTCCTCCTAACTTCCACATTACAAATTCTTTGCATAATATTTACACTACACATTGCCCTTAGACACAACATCCCCACTGCCTTCAGCCTCTTTCTTACTGCAGCATTCACAATCCACACTTCATACCCATGTAAGAAGTGTTGGTACCACTATACTCTCGCACATTCCCTTCTTTGCCTCAATGGAGAACGTTTTTTTGTCTCAACAGCTACCTCAATGCACCACTCGTCCTTTTTCTTCATCAATTCTATGGTTAACCTCATCCTTCATAAACCCATCTACTGACAAATCTACTCCCACATATTTGAACACATTCACTTCTATTTCTATTTTTTCTATCAAGAAAAACCAAAGAAAACTCAGGTGAGTATGTATACATAAATGTGTACATCCATGTGTAGTGTGACCTAATTGTAAGTAAAAGTAGCAAGATATACCAGTTATCTTGTGTGTTTACGAGACAAAAAAGACATCAGCACTCCTACCATCATGTAAAACAAACACAGGTTTCTGTCTTAACACTCATTTGACAGGACAGTAGTACTGTCTTGTGTGGTTGCTGTGTATCTACCTACTACTTAACAATATTGTACATGAACTTATTTTATCCTGTAGTCAGTATAATTAGGTGGAATAGCCATTACCACTTATTCACTGCTACATGTCTCTGATACTTAGATGTCAGTTCCTCTCTAATTATGAAATGAGATGGGACATGTCAATAATTTGTGATCCAGTTACCATATTTAAATAAATGATATTTTTGTAATTAAATACAAAAATATCATTTATTTGAATATGTTAACTGGATCACAAATTATTGACATGTCCCATCTCATTTCATAATTAGAGAGGAACTGACATCTAAGTATCCAAATATTAACCGCTTATTAAAGCCTATAAAAACTACTAAAGTAATAATCCAAGTTATTGAATTTAGATTAAAATTATGACTCACGAAATCGTAATGACACGATTGCAAACAAACACGACAGGCTGGAGTTTTGAGACTCTGACCGCGGGTTCAATCCCGGCCGGGGTATCGTTAGATTAAAATTCAGTCAAATCAATTAGTATTCATGACATCAGTGGACCTGGGGAAGCTAGAAGGGTCCTAGAAGGGTCCTAGAAAGTGATCAGATGTTATAACATTCCAAATGAAGTCAGGGTGCACTGTTAGGTTTACTATAAATCAACCCCTATTATATATCTAGGGCTGCCTTTGGTATTATCTTTTCCGTGTAGTATACTGAAAGCGGACGCATTTCATTCCTGTCAGTCAGGCAGTGGCCAGGAAAGGAGCAGATGAGAGGCATTTTTTTAGTTCAGTACATGTAGAAATGTGGCTGGGTGAAGTAGTCGTGGGTTGGTGTTAGTCTGAGTAGGTAATTTTGGCAAGTTTTTTAGTGTATACCATAGGTGTTTGTGTTTAAGTGCTCTCATGTTTATCTGTAAAGCAATAGTATGCAGGGGCCTGTGTTTTGGAGAGTATTTAAGATTTCCACTGTAGGCTAAGTGGCCTGCAGAAAGAGGATGGGGTGTCATGGAGCCTCCCTGTTCATAGACGTTCATTTATTTTGTTTAGCTCAGCCACAGCCACTCAAGAGGGAGAGGTTTTTTAGTGCCAGGAAGGAAAAAAAACTGGCAGGAAATGGCAGAAATCGTACACCAAATCCAGTCATTCCTGGAGTGGAACCACAGTCAATGGCCTCCACTCCAAACCAACAGATACAGATACTAATGCCGGAACCCCCCCCCCCCCCAGTACCAACAATACCACCAGTCCAATGACATTCTTCTTTGCAAATATACAGGGTCTAAAGCCAGCAACAAACAACAAAATACCTTTCATCCGTGGACTGCTTGCAGAGGCAAAGGCAATGTTCGCGGCTTTCACTGAGACCCACATAAAGGATCACTTGGACAACGAAATATGGATCCCAGGTTACAACCTATACAGATGCGACAGAGTGAACAGGCAAAAGGGGAGGGTTGGCCTGTACATTGCAGAGTCACATGATTGCACAGAACTGCTGAATGCCTCAAATGATGTAGTGGAAGTTTTAGCAGTAAAGATCGAGAACCAAAACCTAGTCATTGTGGTAGTCTACAAGCCTCCGGATGCAACATCCCAGCAATTCCAGGAACAACTGTTGAAAATTGACCAATGTCTGGAAAATCTGCCAGCTCCTGCACCCAACATCTTGCTCCTGGGGGATTTCAACTTAAGGCACCTAAAATGGAGGAATATAGCAAATAATATTGTTGCAGTAATAACACCAGGAGGCACTCTGATGAAAACTCACACTCACACGAGCTTTTAAATCTCTGCACAAAATTCAATTTAAACCAGCAAATAATAGAGCCTACTAGACTGGGGAATACACTAGACCTCATCTTCACTAACAATGATGATCTGATACGAAATGTCACCATATCAAAAACAATATACTCAAATCACAACATAATTGAGGTTCAGACATGTATGCACAGAGCCCCAGACTGACATAATGAGATTAGTCACGAGGGAGCATTCACCAAATTCAACTTCAATAACAAAAACAAAGTGGGACCAAGTAAACCAAGTCCTAACCGATATAAGCTGGGAAGATATACTAAGCAACACAGACCCCAACTTATGCCTAGAACAGATTAACTCGGTGGCACTCGATGTATGCACAAGGCTTATTCCTCTAAGAAAAAGGATGAGTAGATGTAAAATAGAAAGGGACAGGCGCTCCCTTTACAGGCGACGGAAAAGAATAACAGAGCGGCTAAAAGAGGTCAATATATCTGAAAGGCTTAGGGAGACACTGGTCAGAGAAATAGCAAGCATCGAACTTAAGCTAAAGGAATCTTATAGGAGTCAGGAATCGCGGGAAGAACTAAAAGCCATAAATGAAATCGAAAGAAACCCAAAGTATTTCTTCTCCTATGCCAAATCAAAGTCGAGAACAACGTCCAGTATTGGGCCCCTACTTAAACAAGATGGGTCCTACACAGATGACAGCAAGGAAATGAGTGAGCTACTCAAGTGCCAATATGACTTGGTTTTTAGCAAGCCGCTAACCAGACTGAGAGTCGAAGATCAAAATGAATTTTTTATGAGAGCCACAGAATTTGGTTAACAAAAGCCTATCTGATGTTATCCTGATGCCAAATGACTTCGAACAGGCGATAAATGACATGCCCATGCACTCTGCCCCAGGGCCAGACTCGTGGAACTCCGTGTTCATCAAGAACTGCAAGAAGCCCCTATCACGAGCTTTTACCATCCTATGGAGAGGGAGCATGGACACGGGGGTTGTCCCAGTTACTAAAAACAACAGACATAGCCCCACTCCACAAAGGGGGCAGTAAAGCAACAGCAAAGAACTACAGACTGATAGCACTAACATCCCATATCATAAAAATCTTTGAAAGGGTCATAAGAAGCAAGATCACCACCCATCTAGAAACCCATCAATTACACAACCCAGGGCAACATGGGTTTAGAACAGGTCGCTCCTGTCTGTCTCAACTATTGGATCACTACGACAAGGTCCTAGATGCACTAGAAGACAAAAAGAATGCAGATGTAATATATACAGACTTTGCAAAAGCCTTCGACAAGTGTGACCATGGCGTAAGAGCGCACAAAATGCATGCTAAAGGAATAATGGGAAAAGTCGGTCGATGGATCTATAATTTCCTCACTAACAGAACACAGTAGTAGTCAACAGTAAAGTCCAAGGCAGCTACGGTGAAAAGCTCTGTTCCACAAGGCACAGTACTTGCTCCCATCTTGTTCCTCATCCTCATATCTGACATAGACAAGGATGTCAGCCACAGCACCGTGTCTTCCTTTGCAGATGACACCCGAATCTGCATGACAGCGTCTTCCATTGCAGACACTGCAAGGCTCCAGGCGGACATCAACCAAATCTTTCAGTGGGCTGCAGAAAACAATATGAAGTTTAACGATGAGAAATTTCAATTACTCAGATATGGCAAACACGAGTTAATTAAATCTTCATCAGAGTACAAAACAAATTCTGGCCACAAAATAGAGCGAAACACCAACGTCAAAGACCTGGGAGTGATCATGTCGGAGGATCTCACCTTCAAGGACCATAACATTGTATCAATCGCATCTGCTAGAAAAATGACAGGATGGATAATGAGAACCTTCAAAACTAGGGATGCCAAGCCCATGATGACACTCTTCAGGTCACTTGTTCTATCTAGGCTGGAATATTGCTGCACACTAACAGCACCTTTCAAGGCAGGTGAAATTGCTGACCTAGAAAATGTACAGAGAACCTTCACGGCGCGCATAACGGAGATAAAACACCTCAATTACTGGGAGCGCTTGAGGTTCCTGAACCTGTATTCCCTGGAACGCAGGCGGGAGAGATACATGATTATATACACCTGGAAAATCCTAGAGGGACTAGTACCGAACTTGCACACGAAAATCACTCACTACGAAAGCAAAAGACTTGGCAGACGATGCAACATCCCCCCAATGAAAAGCAGGGGTATCACTAGCACGTTAAGAGACCATACAATAAGTGTCAGGGGCCCGAGACTGTTCAACTGCCTCCCAGCATACATAAGGGGGATTACCAACAGACCCCTGGCAGTCTTCAAGCTGGCACTGGACAAGCGCCTAAAGTCGGTTCCTGACCAGCCGGGCTGTGGCTCGTAAGTTGGTTTGCGTGCAGCCAACAGTAACAGCCTGGTTGATCAGGCTCTGATCCACCAGGAGGCCTGGTCACAGACCGGGCCGCGGGGGCGTTGACCCCCGGAACTCTCTCCAGGTTAACTCCAGTAGCAGTGTGCTAGTGAGATAATGTGAACTGGAGTGTGGTGGTTTTTTGTAGTAGTTATAAGTTGTATACAAGTTACTATTAACCCTTAAACGGTCTAAACAGATCGACGTTCAAATTCGTAGTGCTCCAAAAGTAGATCTACTTTTTTTTACATATTTTCAAATATGAAAAAAAAAAAAAATTTAGATAAGTTTTTTTTTACACGTTTTCAAATGTAAAACAAAAAAGAAGATCTACATTTTTTTACATACTTTCAGATGTTGAAAAAACATATATATGTTTGGACCGTTTAAGGGTTAATACAGATATATTTTTGTATAGGCGAGTTTTTGTCCTTCCTTTCTAATAATAATTAATATTGTGTGTAGAAGAGAGGGAGACTACAGTGGACCCCCGCATAGCGATATTAATCCGTGCAAGAGAGCTCATTGTTATGCAAAATTATCGTTATGCGAATGAATTTTCCCCATAAGAAATAATGGAAATCAAATTAATCCGTGCAAGACACCCAAAAGTATGAAAAAAAAATTTTACCACATGAAATATACATTTTCCTACACACAAAGAGAAGGTATTCCTGATATCAAGGAATCTCTTATTTACACAAGGTGTTTCATGCAGTAGGGATCTTATAATGGTACCTGATAAAAGCCTCAGGGAATGAAAAAATTGAATAAACAAGTTTCTTTGCTACAAGACTCTTTCTACTACAATTTCTCAGTGTACACTGATATAGTTATTAAGCAGCACTAAATCATGTAGGAGTCAAACAGCACCTGGGTGAATGGAAGGCAATCCGATTCAGTATATGAAAGGGTAAGGCTGCCGCTTGAATCAAGAGCTCTTCATTGGCATCGAGGAACATCCCTTGAAGGGTGTCAGCTTTCTGACATAACTCCAGATGTATTCTGTACTACTGCATATAAGTTTGGAATTTCATTGCAAATAATTTTATGTAAATGCTAGTTATAGTTTCTGGAAAACTACAGCTAAAACCACATCCTTATATTCATAACTATACATTTTTTCTTAAACTGTAGATTATACATTACAAATATATTAAAATTTAAATTTTACTGCAAAACTAATAACTTCACTGAATTCTTGGTCTATTAACTTACATTCTCGTACCACAAGGTATGCCAAAACAAGGCAGACTGTGTGACCAGAGTAAATGTAATCTCCACAGAAAGTATGTTGACCGTTGATTGACAAGCCGAATCCTGAGAGCAGCTGAATTACCCGTTTGGCCACCAATAAAGGACCAGTATAATTAGCTTTTGGCGAGCAATAATAGTTGGGATTGGCAACCGGAAGAACCGTTACATACATTGTGATAGAACGGTAAAAATACAGCAACCCCATCATCAGGAAGATACGACGGAAGAGAATCCACCTGAAAATGAAAAAAAGAAAAATGCAAGAGTTGCTCTATCATGTTTGCAGTTACGAAAAGCAGTAGCTAAATAATGTAGTTCATGTAGTGAATATTACACTAACAAACTTTTAAGAAATACAGTACTGAGTTACAAACTAATGTCATTTTTCTTTTTTAAATATCTGCAAATTGCCTCCTTCCAATTTTTTTTTTTTTTAATCCAGCCAAAATATTTTAAGTCTCCAGACCCTGAACTTCATCTAAAATATTACAATGTTACTTTAATGCACTGTATAACTACAAAATTTCTAAAAACACTACTCCATTATTTCAACTGCTCTTCAACTACAGTGGACCCTCGCCTAACGATATTAATCCGTTCCTGAGAGCTCAACATTAGGCGAAATTATTGCTAGCTGAATTAATTTTCCCCATAAGAAATAATGGAAATCAAATTAATCTGTTCCTGACACCCCAAAGTATGAAAAATAAAAATTTTACCACATGAAATATTAATGTTAATACACACAAACTGAAGAAGACATGTACAATTACATGACACTTGCCTTTATTGAAGATCTGGTGATGACTGATGGGATGGGAGGAGGGGAGTGTGTGGATGGTGTTAATGTTCAGAAGGGGAATCCCCTTCCATTAGGACTTGAGATGTCAAGTCCTTTTCCAGGGTTACTTCCCTTCTTTTAATGCCACTAGGACCAGCTTGAGAGTCAATGGACCTCTGTCGCACAACATATCTGTCCATAGAGGCCTGTACTTCCCGTTCCTTTATGACATTCCTAAAGTGTTTCACAACATTGTCAGTGTAATAGTCACAAGCATGGCTTGCAATAGCTGTGAGAGGGTGATTTTCATCAAAAAAGGTTTGCACTTTAAGCCACATTGCACACATTTCCTTAATCTTTGAAGTAGGCAACTTCCTCAATTTCTCTATCCCCTCCTCCGGAGCAGTTTCCTCAGGTCTGGCCTCTTGCTGTTGAAGATGATCTTGCAGCTCATCAGTGGTTAGTTCATCATTGTCTTCCTCCACCAACTCTTCCACATCCTCCCACTAACCTTCAACCCCAAGGACTTCCCCAATGCCACAATTGATTCCACAACTGGCATAGGCTTCTCAGGGTTAGCCTCAAATCCTTCAAAATCCCTTTTGTCTACACATTCTGGCCACAGTTTCTTCCAAGCAGAGTTCAAGGTCCTCTTAGTCACTTCCTCCCAAGTCTTACCTATAATGTTTACACAATTGAGGATGCTAACGTGATCTCTCCAAAACTCTCAGAGTCAAAGCACCTTTCAAACATAGCTTTTGTGTAGAGTTTCAGAGTGATACACCAATAAAGGCTTCACTTTGCAATCACCACTAGCATTAGCACACATCAACAGAGTAAGCCTGTCTTTCATAGGCTTATGTCCTGGGAGTGCCTTTTCCTCCTGAGTAATGTAGGTCCAGCTTGGCATTTTCTTCCAAAACAGGCCTGTTTCGTCACAATTAAACACTTGTTCAGGTTTCAATTCTTCACTGTCTATGTACTCCTTGAATTCCTTCACATTTTTCAGCTGCTTTTTTGTCCGAACTGGCAGCCTCACCATGCCTTATCACACTATGTATGCCACTACGATTCTTAAATCTCTCAAACCAACCTTTGCTGGCCTTAAATTCACTCGCATCACCACTAGTTGCAGGCATTTTTCTAATTAAATCGTCATGCAACTTCCTAGCCTTTTCACTTATGATCGCTTAAGAGATACTATCTCCTGCTATCTGTTTTTCGTTTACCCACACCAATAACAGTCTCTCAATATCTTCTATCACTTGCGATCTCTGTTTCGAAAACAAAGTTGCACCTTTGGCAAGAACAGCTTCCTTGATTGACGTTTTCTTGGCCACAAGAGTAGCGATGGTTGATTAGAGTTTTGTGTACAACCTGGCCAGCTCGGAGACACGCACTCCACTTTCATACTTAGCAATGATCTCTTTCTTCATATCCATAGTGATTCTCACCCTTTTTGCTGCAGGGTTGGCACTAGAAGCTTTCTTGGGGCCCATGGCGACTTATTTTGCAGGTGCAATCACTAAAAACGCCGTGATAATATGAAATGTTCCGATTGTATGTTTGGATGCAACCCCGGTGGCTGGCTTGTAAACACTGGCACCCACGGGAGAAGTGAGGCACGCTCAGGCCGCAAGTGGATGCGTCTCGAACGGAACGAATCGCGTTGGGCGAGTTTTTAAGCGCTAGCCGAGGCAAAATTTTTACGTTAAAATGTATCGCTAACCGGATTTAACGTTATGCGATGCGTTCGTTAGGTGAGGGTCCACTGTATTAGGAGAAATTGAATGAACATCCACTTGAAGTAATGTGTACAAATTTATCCATCACATACAATTTTCCAATTTTCTTGAGGTTACAACAGGCATGGATCATACTTTTACTATACATAATAGGGACTGAAATCAGGAACCATTTTTTTTTATTTAGTTGGAAAATGAGGTTCTATTACAAGGTATGAGGAATAGCCAAAGCATATACAGTACACTATATTAATATTACTAACCTGTGCTTGTGAAATATTATAACCATTACACACAAGTATACAGAGATTATGATTATTATCTCTGACACATTAAGGCCCCACTCCTGTACAGTGATGGCATCTAGAGTCACATCAGGTAGAGGCTTATAATCAGGCACTTTTTCATGTGTTAGTGCTAATGAGGCAGTAGTAAATATCCAGTTTGATAACAGGAACAGGAATGCTGCAACAAATTTTTTTTGATAAGAGTGCAGTTTAAGAAAGAAAGCTACTCTTAGAAGCATTTTTTCATATATTAAAATTCAGCACTGTACGTTCATAAATGTTTTACATACTGTATGTAGCATCTTTATATCAATATGTATCACTGTTAACACTAAAAATGTGGATTTCAAGTGGCGACCAATATAAAGACAGTACTGTACTTACCTAGAAATGTTTTAAATTTTTCTTTTGGAAATCTTGGTGCTTCCCTGTGTGGTGCAGGGATAGGGATTTTCACCATCCCATTACTAGTGCTGCTACTGTTGTCGTAAAAGCCACCACTCACTCCGTCTTTAATAACTCTTAAATTTAAGAACTTTTATTTAGTGCATGTGTGTATTAGATATGCAAGTACAGTATACTTGCACTTCTTTTACAACTTCATCTATAAACATTTAACTATGGTCACATCACACATCCCTTTCTAAAACCTACTTTTACTGTAAAAAATAGAGGACTAATTTTAATATTTTTTGTTGTATATTGTTAGTACATAATTAAAAATGGCAAAGAAATTAAATGAGCAAAAAATGTAAAAAAAAAAGGACAAATGATGATAATATTGCAAAGGTTCTCACCCATTGGTGTTGATGTAAGGGTCATGATTAGCCAAGAGGGGTTGGCGCTGATATACGTCATGATTCATGTGGCAATGGTCAGATTCATCCACCACACTGCTCGCACTACTGCTGGTGCCACTTCTGCTGGTGCCACTCCTGCTGGTGCCTGCTGCACAGTGCTGTGTGTCTGTCACTGGCCCCTCACTCTCTCCTACTGACCCATACCGGCCCCCATCACCACCACCACCTAACACCATTCTGCAAATGACAAGAAATTTTTCACTTTATGTTTACGATGTACACATCTTTAATTTCTTCTCAACTAGTTGCATAATAAAATATACAATAAAAATTTATATATTTATGTACTTTATCAAGTATTCTCCCTTTGCTGTGGTTAGGGTCAACAATACATGAAAACAAAGTGTTCACAACCAGTGCCAGGTTATCTCACACAAGGGTGAAATGACCAAGGCCTAGGCAGTAGTTCCCTGCTGGGGTACTGCAGCACAACAGGATGCCATGGCACATTGGAATTCCACATATCTACCAGGGTACCACAGATATCTGCCACCAGAGGTACTATGACAGATGCCACCTATCTGTCAGGGGTGTCACAGACCCAAGGGGGTGCCATAGATCTTTGGCAGGGGTGAAACATTTAGAGGCTATTAATTAAATGGAGGTGTAAGTGGCTATATCTGGAAAAATGTTAGCAATGAAGAAATAACACTGTTCATGCATGCGCTTAACTTCTAAAGGTATCCCAACCATGTGTTAAAAGCATTAACTCATGAAAACATAAGAAGGAACACTGCAACAGGCCTACTGGCCTATGCGAGGCAGCTCCAATTCTCTTACAGCTTAAGCCAATACCTTGACCTAGTGAGGTCAGACACGTCACTAAGGGGGGAGGAGCAGCGCATCTGACCTAGTAGCACAAGCATACTCCAGACATTTGCTTATCATGGAACAAGAGTTGTACTGGAAATGCATATATGATTCTGAGGAAACAAAAATAAAATAATCATAAAGATGGGAAGGATTGCTGGGGAGCAGATATTGTAAACTGCAGATTGAAGCATTTGTAAATGTAAATTTTACCGATGATTATGAATTTAAATGTAGATTAAAGCCCTTGCAATTTTCAGTCAGACATGCATGAAGACTAAGACTGTAGATGTGTTTGAATAATGGCGAACAGCTTAATGTATGCAACTTTAGTTTCGAGGGTTCTTTGAACCTCACAATTCTGCCAGAGCCCAAACTTCCTTGAGAACTGATGATGCCAGAGACCCACAGACCAACACTCATAACTGATTTCTTTTTAAAGTGGTGTCCAGTCGTTCCCTTGAAACTTGCACCATTCATATCCTTTGGATTTAAATCTTTCATAAATTCAGAATAAAGAATGAAAGTTAAGACAAATGTGCAACATCTGGGTATCTTTATCGTAGATGTTTCGCCATCCTGTGACTATGATTAGAAAACAATAGAACTATATACAAAAGATAAGGTAATCAGTCCCTCAGCCTTGGAGTTGGTGTTGAGAGCACTGTGGTAGTATAGATTCTGGAGCAAAGACAAGGAGACTGGCATTTATATAGGAGTTAGTCGATAGGGACGTGTAGTAGACGAGGGCCTAGTCACTGGTATCTGGGATTCCACTGACGCCTAAATAAACGTTTCGCCATAAAGTTGAAGAATTGAGACACTTATGCAACATATGGGAATCTTTAATGAAGAAACGTGTCTTCATTAAAGATTCCCATATGTTGCATAAGTGTCTCAATTCTTCAACTTGTCGGTTTTCAAAACCATTTATCACACAAACGCCAGTCTCCTTGCCTTTGCTCCAGAATCTATACTACCACAGTGCTCTCAACACCAGCTCCAAGGCTGAGGGACTGATTACCTCATCTTTTGTATATAGTTCTACTGTTTTCTAATTATGTCCAAGAATCTGTACTGATAAAGGTGAAATGTCTCCAATAAAGATACCTAAATGTTTCATGTCTTAAGTTTCATCTTGTCGGTATTGTATACCTTTCTTGCAGTTTAAAGAATAAATAGTACTTCGGTAGTAAAATTCACAAATGTTTGATTTGTCGTCAGTTATACATCCTATCACAACCCCTTAATCATTATACTTTGGGAGAAGAGTTAAATCCGGATAACTGAATGCCTGGGAAATGAAAGGCAATTACGCTTGATCCAAGGAAGAGGACAAGTTCGATTCCTTACATCAAGAGCCAGCCATCTTAAGTCAATGAACACACGAGGTAAGTTTAGTAACTATCTTGAAGGTAGGTATAATGTTTGTCAGGTAAGAGGACAAGTGTTTCCTGATGTGGGTCTTAGTCATATGATGACCCACAACTGCAGCTTTTGGTCATCTGACAGGAGTTCCGCTGGTGGACCAGTAGGTCCACCTCTAAAAATCATGGATATGATTATAACCATTAATTTATGAATACCATCATGAACCTAAACCGGAGAGTTAGCCACCCAGGATAACCCAATAAAGTCGTTTTTTCATAGGTGACTATTTTTTCATTGGGGTCCTTTAATATTGTCCTCCAGGATATGACCCACAATAGTTGACCAACACCCATATATCTACTGTTAAATGAACAGGGACAACAGGTGTAAGGTAACACCTGCTTTGGGGATTAGCGTGGACGGTTACAAAGCATGGCTTGCTTCTGCAGTGTTTTAAAAATTGAGGTTGGAGAGTTGAAGGAGGAGGTCTTGCTTCTCCAGGAGGAGATTAGGAGGCTGAAGGTCCACCTCAATGGGTCTGGGAGAGAGTGTGAGGTGGCTGGAGTTGTGGGAAATGAGGCTTCTAGCAGTGAGGTGCAGTCCAGCATCTGCTACAAGTGGCGAGTGGTTCCCAGTAATGGGAGGAGAATCAGAATAAGGAAAGTTAAGAGTGAAGATCTGAAGGTAGGAAATCGCTTCTCTGTTCTTCAGGATGAATGTACTTCAGTGGCCAGTGAAGGTAAGGGTACTACTGCCCCTGCTAACAGAGGCAAGCGCATTCTTGTGGTTGGTGACTCTCAGGTAAGATATATTGACCGTGCTTTTTGTAATAGGAATAAGAAGATGAGAGATAGAGTGTGCTTCCCTGGAGCTGGTGTTGGGGACATAGTTAACAGGCTGGATAACAATGTCAGGTAATGGGAACAAGCCCATTATCTGTCTCAGTGCTGGTGGAAATGATATTGGGAAGGGTATGAGAGAAGAGTTGCTAGATAAGTACAGGTCAGCTATAGATTTCATTAAGTCTACGGGAGGGGTCCCAATCATATGCAGCATCTTGCCTAGAAGGGGAGTAGGAAATGAATGGTTGTCTAGGGCAATTGGTGTAAATTGCTGGCTAGACAGATACTGCAAGGAACTTGCAATCCCATTCATTGACAACTGGAACAACTTTTATGGCAAACATGATATGTATGCAAGGGATGGGGTACATCTCTCTGGGGCTGGGGTGGTAGCACTTGCAAACTCAATTGAGAAGGCCATTGGTGAAATGCCTATGATTTTAAACTGATAGAAGATAGAGGTATGGGTGTGTGGGAAACAAGCAGGTTGCAACACTAGGGTTGGAAACAGTAAATGTATAAAAGGCATTCAGCATGAGGTTATAAATAAAGACAATAGATCAGGTCAGCAAACAAAGTGGGACAGCAGAGGGCAGCAAGGGACTAGCTCCCTTAAGGTTTACTATACTAATAGCAGGAGTGTAAGAAATAAGATAGATGAGCTAAGATTAATTGCAAGTGCAGGAAACAGATATTATTGCTGTAACAGAGACCTGGCTCAATCTGAAAGAGAGAGAGATGCCCTCTGAATGTCACATACAAGGCTATAAATTATTCCACACTGACAGGGTCAACAGGAAGGGTGGTGGAGTAGCGATGTATGTCAGAGACTATTTAAATTGTTGTGTTAGACAAGATATAAAATTAGAAGCGTCAGCCACTGAATCTGTTTGGTTACAGCTTCTCGAGGGCCGAGAAAAACTAATTTTGGGTGTGATTTACAGGGCCCCAAATCTTGATAGGGAGTACAGTAAACTTCTATGGGACGAAATTCGTAAAGCATCTACATACTTAAATGTTGTGCTAATGGGAGATTTCAACTATAGACAGATTGACTGGAGCAATTTAACAGGAAATTTAGAGTCAGGTGACTTTCTTGATACGATCCAGGATTGTTTTTTAAAACAGTTTGTGACAGAGCCAACTAGGGGAAATAACCTCCTTGACTTGGTTCTTGCCAGTAGGGAAACGCTAATTAATAATCTTGAGGTTAATGATGAGCTTGGGGAAAGTGATCACAAATCACTCAGTTTTAATATATCATGGAATTCCCCTAATAATGGCAATCAAGTCTCCGTCCCTGACTTTCGCTTGGCTGATTTCATAGGACTGAAAAATTACTTAGGTGGGCTGAACTGGAATGACCTGACTAAGGGTCAGGTAGGTGGTGATGGTTGCCGATATGACTCTTTCCAGGGCATAGTTCTAGCTGCTCAGTCAAATTATGTTCCAAATAGGGAAATCAGATCAAACAAAAATGATCCTAAATGGATGAACAATAGATTAAAATATCTGACTGGTCAAAAGAGAGGCATATATAGGCAAATCAAAAGAGGAGAGGGGCAATTAAGAAATCAATATATTCAGTTAAGAGAGAAATAAAAAAGGGAATTAGAAAAGCAAAAAGGGATTATGAGGTTCAAGTTGCAAGAGAATCGAAGACTAACCCAAAAGGATTCTTTCAGGTATACAGAAGTAAGATCAGGGACAAGATAGGCCCACTCAAAAGTTCCTCGGGTCAGCTCACTGACAGTGATAAGGAAATGTGTAGAATTTTTAACACATACTTCCTCTCAGTTTTTACACAGGAGGATACCAGCGATATTCCAGAAATGATAAATTATGTAGAACAGGACGATAATAAACTGTGCATGATTAGGGTCACAAGTGACATGGTCCTTAGGCAAATAGATAAATTAAAACTTAACAAATCCCCAGGCCCTGATGAACTGTATGCAAGGGTTCTAAAGGAATGTAAAGAGGAGCTTAGCAAACCTTTGGCTAATCTTTTCAACATATCACTACAAACTGGCATGGTGACAGATAAGTGGAAAATGGCAAATGTGATACCTATTTTCAAAGCAGGTGACAGGTCCTTGGCTTCGAACTATAGACCAATAAGCCTAACCTCCATAATGGGAAGATTTATGGAAT